CCCCCCTCCCTCTCTCTCTCTCTCTCTCTCTTTCTTTCTCTCTCTCTCTTTCTTTCTCTCTCTCTCTCTCTCTCTCTGTATTTAACTTACACCTTAGAGCAGTAATGGCAAACCTTTTAGAGACCGAGTGCCCAAACTGCAACCGAAAACCCACTTATTTATTGCCGGGTGCCAGGTGGGCATGGCCCACTGGGTGGGCGTAGCTGTGGTGGTCATGGCAGACAGGGTGGGTGTGGCCAAGGTGGGCGTGATCACCTCATTGTTGCTCGTGGGGAGGGACACCTGTGGGGGCCGGGCAGGGTTGGGGGAGATCCAGGGGGGCTCTGGCAGGTGGGGCGGTGGGCAGGAGGCTTGTCCTGCTGGGTGAGGTGAGGCAGAGTGGGGGTGCCATTGTCACGGCAAGGTGAGGCAGGGGCCAGGGCAGCTACTGCCTGACACCATCAGCCACTGCACAGAGGCCAGTGAGTGCATGGGTGCTGGGATGCATCTGGCCATGTGGGACCTCGGCGAGTTAACGGGCGGCTGGTTGAAGAGGGATGGTTGCCATCTCCGGGGCATGGCGCGTGTGCCCACAGAGAGGGCTCTGAGTGCCGCCTCTGGCACGCGTGCCATAGGTTCACCACCACTGCCTTAGAGAGTAGTTCCAATACTGAGATAGCACATACTTTGTCATCATTTCACAAACTCGTTTCAAGGTTTAATGGTCGAGAGGGGAATATCCTGAGGTGTTTGCCTTACGTGTTCCCGTTCTGAGATGTTTGCCTGCTCTTGTGCTAGGCACAGCCAGAACACACTTCTTTGCTACACGGACGTCACTGTGCTGTTTCCGCTGCTGTGTCTTTCAGGCGTTCGGACGCATCAAGAAATGGCTCAAGCACGCTGAATCCTCACCCAACCTGAACATCCTAGCCGGAGGCGGCTGCGACGATGCGGTGGGCTATTTTATCCAGCCATGCATTGTGGAGACAACGGACCCCAAGGACCCCATCATGCAGGAGGTGAGCCTATGCGACGGAGACGGCATTTCCTTGGGAAAATGCTAAATGCCTCCCACAGTCTTTGCTTGTTCCCTGCGAGGCCAAATCCTCTTCCATGCCAACTTTCTGCAAAAGTTTAAAATATCCATGATCGTTGCAAAAACACCATCTAATTAAGGATTTTGCTACCCTCTCTAGGTGGCGCTGGGAAATGTAGTCTAGGACTCTAGGCATCACCACAGAGATACCGTCCCCCTCACTTTAGACATGCTAATTTTCCTAGTGAAAGTGCCCCACGGGTTTACAGAAATGTAGACAGTGATTTTTACAGATGCAACAGCCTTTAATTTGGGTTTGTTTTCTCTCTTTTTTTTTCTCCTCCCCACGGGTAGGAAATCTTTGGGCCGGTTCTGTCCGTCTATGTCTATCCAGAGAAACAGTACAAAGATATCCTCCACCTGATTGACAGCACTTCTCCGTACGGCCTCACAGGGGCGGTGTTTGCCCAGGATAAGTAAGAACCGGGGTGTCTCTGTGGATGTGATGGGGGTCTCCCTCTCCTTGGATGGGGAATTGGGAAATAATAGCCAGGGTGCATTTAAGGTCGGCACAGAACCCAAATACTTTTAATCTTCTCCCAGCTCAACTAGAGTGCGGTAGAAGACCCCCAGTGTTGTCATTGCCACAATATACCAGCCTTAATGAAACCCTTTTGATCAGGAGAAGTGTATCTTAGGACTCTGGGGAAGGGGCTAAAGTCCTTGTGTGCCCCCTTGCTGGAAGGTCTGATCTCTTTCCCCCTCCTCACATCTCTGCTCAGGGCTGTCATTGCCGAAGCCACTAAACTCCTAAGGAACGCAGCCGGGAATTTTTACATCAATGACAAGTCCACTGGTGCGGTGGTGGCCCAGCAGCCATTTGGGGGTTCTCGTGCCTCAGGTATGTAGAAATCAGATTTGTGTGTGTGTGTGTGTGTGTGTGTGTGCGTGCGTGCGTGCTTAGGGTCTGGCCTGATCTCAGAACATTTTGTAGCACTTTCTGATAAAATGCAGTTGGTATTACCATCATTATCATCGCTCTCATTATTGCAGTGTGGGTCCCCATTCCTGCCAATGGCTCCCAAGCTGAAGAAGTACAGACAAGATAACACCTTTGTTAACCACTATACCTAGTTGTGGTTTGTTGACACGAAGAAGGGAGCCTTGGTGGAACACCACCACCTTCTTTGCCCACCGCCCAAATCTTGCGAGATGCAAAACGCGCTCGGCAACCAGTTTCTTGCAACCACGTAATGGCCCAGCAAGATGTGGGAAGCGAGCCTAGGTTTTCATGGGACAATGAGATCTAGCGACTTGGGAGTGTTTGGTCGCAGAGGATGCAAATGCTGTTCCTTTCTTCTTTTGGACTCAGGAACCAACGACAAGCCGGGCAGCGCTCATTACATCCTGCGGTGGACCTCTCCCCAGGCGATCAAGGAGACCCACGAGCCGCTGGGGGACTGGAAGTACCCCTACATGCAGTGACGTGGCTCATGGGCCTTGCAGACGTGGACTGCGACCGTCGGGGCGACAGGCTGTGTTTCCTTTCAGCGGCCGCCCTTGCCGATCTCTCCGAAGGCACAAATGACAAGGAGTGAATTGATTTCCTTCTCTGCCACCTGGACATCTTTGGAGAATATTTAAAAAAAAAATCATATCCTACTGAAAATCAAAATTTACTCCTCCACTTCATTTCTCCAGGGAGGCTTTGCTGCCGACACTCCTTAAATGCCACGTTCTTCAACTTTTCTATCTGTTTCTAATACATTTTTGCCTCCTCCACTGGAGGGGAGAAGGGACTTGTGCCAAAAGCAGCCTAGTCAGTGAATCTCTTTTGTTACAGAAACAAGAGGAACGGCCAGGGAAGAAAGTCACATCCAGAGAAATTGTGAGCATCAAATCAGCCTGCAGGAAAAGCAAAAACTAAACTCCTGTAAACGATCTTCTTGCGCGTCCGAAGGAACGTGGGTGGAGATTTTTGCACAAAAAGTTTTGCTTGTGTGGCAGTCGCCCTCCAGATGGGGACGCTGGTTCTTTTAAAAAAGATTGAATGTTGTAAAATTTGAACACTCAAATCGGGGGACAAGTAATGCTTTCTTTAAAGGGCGTCTTTTGGTAGCTTGCAAACGGAGCAAGGCTAATTCTGCGCAAAAGCTCTACAATCAAGGAACGGAGGAATGCAAATGAAATGTATGAAACTGAACGATTGAGGAAAGACTGGCAAACCGCTAATT